TACACAATTGATGTGTGTATGGATTGTGATAAGAGTTGTATGAGCCCCTAATAAAATGATTTAAAAAATAATAATAAAGTTAACATGAACTATAAAAAATTACTAATAAAAATTTTTTTAATTAAAAATAAAAATTAAAAATGTGCTGAAAACTTGGCTTATACACGAGTATATACGGTATTCTATGATATCTGTAACAGTGTTTACCCAAAACAGTGTTTTTTAAGTGATATCTTGAAGGCCGTAAAACAAATCTCAATACATTTAAAAGAACTTAAATCATACAAAGTGCATATGGTCTCTGACCAAAATGTATTAGAAATTGCTATCACCAAGTCTAATAAAAGCCATCTATGGACAAACCTAGAACTTGTCTCTTATTTTATGATATGGCACTGAGTGCTTTCCCCCGGAAGACTGGGAGCAAAAATACGTTCATGCTCACACTTCTATTTAATCGCACTGGAAATTCTAGTGCAGTAAGGTAACCAAAAGAATTATAAAAGACATCTAAATTGAAGGAAGAAATACAACTGGTTTGTTTGGGGGGTTGGGTTTTTTGTTGTTGTTTTTACCAGTGACGTGATATATGTAGAAATTATATGGAATCTTACATACTGTAACTAATGAGTGAATTTTGCAAGGTTGAATAAAAGATGCTAAGGATGTTGGGAGGCAAAGTGGAAATGGCTGACGAAGGAAGGGATCTCTGCTGGGCTCTGGGGCTGGGTGCACAGATGATGAGAAAGGTGCCTGCTCAGGCAAGTGGCTGATAACACCCAACCACCACCACCCTGAAACCCTAGGGCAGGGGTCCTCAAACTTTTTAAACTGGGGGCCAGTTCACTGTCCCTCAGACCCGTTGGAGGACCGGACTATAGTTTAAAAAAAAAAACTATGAGCAAATTCCTATGCACATATCTTATTTTGAAGTAAAAAACAAAACGAGGCAAAAACACCTGCGGGCCAGATAAATGTCCTTGGCGGCCCGCATGTGGCCCCCGGGCCCTAGTTTGAGGACCCTTGTCCTAGTGGGTTCTGTGATGGCAAGGAAATCATGGTAGAAAAAAGTGGGGTGGGGGGTTTTGCAGCACCATACACATCCCAAGACACAAGGGTTGCCCATTGAGTGGTGAATAACTCAAGAAAGTTGGTATGTACCAACACTGAAGACAGAATATGGACCCAACTCTTACATAACATTGATATCACATAGCAATAGAATGTAGCTGTGTCAGTCAGTGAGAGATTAGTGTATGTTCAACAACAGTTGGGGAGGGGAAACAATTTCTATATTCTAACAAGAACACTAGGAAAAATTTTAAAGGCTCTTTTCAACACCATCAGATACTCATGGATAATTTTGAAAAATAAAAATCTTGCTGAAAGAAAGACTTGAAAAAATGAGAGAGACACTATGTTCACAGATTAGAAAAGTCATCATTTTAATATATCATTTCTCGTTAAATTTATTTACAGATGCAACACAATCCTATTCAAAATCTGAGTAAGCATTTTAAAAATAAAAATTGGTAAGCTGTTTTTCAAATTAATATGGAAATGTAAAGCAACCAGAGGAGCAAAAACAACTCTGGAAGAACTAAATTGGAGGATTGACACTGCCTGATTATTTTAGAGCAGTCCCAATTCATGTGAAATATTCTGAATGGGCGAGTGTAGAGAGACCAACATTTATTAGTAGTTAATATGAGTAGGTGGAGGAGAGGGAAAAGGAGGACTCGATGTTTAGGGGACACTGGGTTTAAGGGCACCAAAAATTGGGGATATGAGTGATACTTAAATAACATGAATGTAATGTTACTGGATGTTGAGATGGCAAAAGTTTTGTTACATATTTACCACAATTTAAAAAAGAAAATATGTGAATGGAAAATAAGCTTAGGGGAAGATTCTCAACATCATTAGTAAGTAGGGAAATGCAAATTAAAGCCACAGTGTGCTAACACATGCCTGTTAGAATGACTGAAATGAGAAAGATTGGCTAAACTAAATGTTGGAGAAACAGCAACTCGCATATCGCATACACTGCTGTTAGAAATGTAAAATGGTACGGCTACGTTGGAAAACAGTTTGACAGCTTCCTAAAAAAGTAAACACAGGCTTACCATATGATCTAGCCATTCCACTCCTACATATTTACCGAAGACAAATGAAAGCATATGTTTATATAAAACTTGTATATAAATGTTTCAGGAGGCCTGGTGACTCAATGAGTGCTTTGCTGCTAACCCAGAGGTTGGCAGTTCAAAACCATTAGCTGTTCCAAGGAAGAATGGTGAGGCAATCTGTTTCTGTAAAGATATTTACTGCCTCAGAAGCCCTGTAGAGAAACCCTACTCTGTCCTACAGGGTCCGTCTGAGTTAGAATCAACTTGAAGGCAGTGGATACAAATACTTATAGAACTGTAATCAAAATAGTCCAAAGTAGAAACAACTGAGACACCTACCAACCTGATCTGCAGTGGAATATTAACTACTGTCTAATTAAGATAACAGTATTATCTCATTAGTTTGCTAGAAAAAGTGACAAAAACAGACCAGCTGTTGCCTAGTCTAGAGCAGGGAAGTTTTACCCAAAAAAAGGGTGAGAGGAAACTTGGGGCTGATGGTGGTGCACTCTCTCTTGATTATAGCGATGACTTCACAGGTCTTTGTTATGGGGTGCTGTCAAGTCATTTATTGACTGGATTGCAGTCGATCCATGCATCAGGGTAGAACTGCCCAGGTGGTTTCTAACTATGGTCTTTCTCCCACAAGGCTACTGACTGGGTTCAAATAACCAACCTTTTGATTGGCAGCTGAATCTTAACCATTGTGCCCCAAGGATTCTTTCCCAGGCATTTCCATATATCAAACTTACACTGTGTATTCAAAATATGTGCAGTTTCTTACATGTCAAATTTATATCAATAAAACTGTTAACAAAAGAAAAAGTTTTTTTTTTCATTAAGATGTTTACAAATGCATGAAAACCTGGAGGAAATATGGAAATAGTTATCTCTGATAAGGAGAGTATTGTAGCATTGTATTAAGGAGGGGTCTTCAGGAGTAATGGTACCATTTTGTTTCCAAAGACGGGTGATAGGTGTAGGTTCTTCACTTTGTTACTCATTTTTATAACAACCCAAATACATACATTATTTTGTATATATAATACCTTGCACAAGTTTTCAAAGTAAAGTTAATTTTTTAATTTATGCAAATTGTTGTCTTTTCTGCTGAGTGTGCCCAACCTAGGACTACTAACTATAGATGTCTGTTACTAATTTAAGTTAGAGATAGTCTCAGTGCATTTTTGCTTTGAAGGTTTTTAGGCTATATTTAAAATGTGTTAGAAGTCATGTCACCTCTAACATCACCAGATTTTCACAAGATAACAAATATTTACAGCTGAAAGATTATTTCTCAGTTTTTCTCAGTCATTTTCTTGTAAAATACCAGGAATTTATATTGTTTATTTTATAGAATAGCCATTTCTATTACTTTGTAAATATAAAATTTTAATTCAAAAAAATTTTTAACGCACACACTTCACTTGAAGATTCTTGAGACTCTCTGTCTTGAAAATTTGACTTTAAATTACCTTGGTATAATGAAAACTGTAAAAAAATGGGTATTCTTATTTTTGCCATTATCTCTATATATTATTCATAGTACCAAATATATAAACTCTAAATGTGTTATATTTATTATAAAAGTTAGAGCTGTATATAAAGCCATAAATATAAATTTGTATCTTAAAAAATTACATGTTTAATCTCTCCTGTAATAGTCAGTGTATATGTATTTTGATGCCAAGGATTGTAGTGTTTATTAAGTGATGCATTAGGCTTTTGTGAAATAATTTAACTGCCAACTATATTTCTAGTATTTTAGTGTGACGATTCTATGGTTCAGATTTATAAGATTTTACATCATACAGTATTGTTATTTTCACCATAGGCTTTTAATTTAGTCTCATTGTATTAATTTACTACAGTATGTGCTAATCTTATCAATATTTTTGCACTGTCCTGAAATGCTGTTTTTCTGTCCACAGCCTGCCCCAGCATGGACTACTTTTAGAGTTGGCCTATTTTGTGGAATATTCATTGTATTGAATGTTACCCTTGTGCTTGCCGGTAAGTCGTTTAAATTGTGAAGTGATTTATTCTTGTTGATATGCCTATATCACATTCTGGGCTCTAGCAAGGAATCAGGCATGCAACTCTCAAATCTAATGACAAAATATCTGTCAGGCCTGAGTTTTTTGTTCTTATTAATGAGTTAGGATTTTTTTTTTGTTTTGATTTTTCCTTTGTGTATAGTTATCCCTTAAAACGTTGCTCATTTATGGCTTCTTATTTGCCATCATTTTCCATTTTTTGTAATACGAATTCTTCAAACTTTTTCAGAGTTTAGTTATTAGAAACCTCAGCTCCCTTGATCACAGGTCAAAGTAAGTTAGATCTTATAAAATTCATGTGCATAAGCTTATTAGATTGTCTTTCACATCCATTTCAGAACTTATTTAATTACTTTGGGTTAAGAATCTTGGTTATATAATTTTCTACTTTACAGAACATAAAAACTAATGAGAAGGAGGAAGAATTACTGGTAGCAAGTGCATCCCAAATCAAAAAATTATGTGACTGCAAAGGAGTCATCTTACTAAATTTCCCATCCAAATTTGA